GCATCGGTCCCCCGTCGCCCGTTCGTCGCCGATAGTAGGGGAACAGAAAGTGACATAAACATAGATATTTGAGGTCCGCGCGGAGTTCTCGGATCGGCGCTGGTCCCCTTCCCTGGCGCGCGGAGCGCGCCAGGGGCGGCGCCGGAGGCGCCGCCGGGTGGCCCCAGCGCCGATCCGAGAAATCCGCGCGGACCTCCGAGTTTTTAGGTTTATGCCACTTTTTGTTCCCCTAGATAGGGGCCCGATACAGTCGGCCCAGATTAGGAGGTCGACCGTGCTAAATCACCGGAGTCTATTGCTCTGTCGGGCGCAAAAATAGTTAAAAAATTGCCTGGGGGCCATTTGGGGATCATTTTGGGATATTTCTGGGCATTCGGGGGGTATTTTTTATTGTTCGTTCAAAATATCCCCCCTGGAGGGGGACAGGCCCGATCTAAGCCTATTGCCGATCTATCCTGAGAGGAAGGGGTCTGGAGTTGTTTGCTGTTGCGCTTTTGGCATCCCTGGCCTTCCTACGGGCCCCGGGACTGGCAAACAACTGCTCAGGACGAAAATACGGTCCTCAGGGTCCAGGGCCCGCTTCTGCTACAGTGCGGGCGCGGCCGCAAGAAACCCTCGCAAGAAACCCAACCCTGAAAACCCGCGCGCGAGGTGCACCTGAGGGGAAGCCCGGAGCACCCTGAACGCAGCAGCTTCTGCAACGGCCGCGGGAAGTCACCACGCGGCGCGCGTAGCGAAGAAACCCAGGGTACCCTGGCGAGAAGCAGATAGTTTCTTGATGCGCGCCCCCACTGTAGGGCCCGTGTCCTTCATGTCAGTCGTCCCTGGTCCCGGGGAAGGGGCGGGCCTCTGTTCGCGTCGCCCCCCGGCAGGTGACGAGTCGAATATTCTGCAAAGAGCACTGGCGTCCAATCACCAGCCCGGCTGTTCTTCGTCTTTTCCCACGCTCGGGCGAGCGATTTTCCATGTTCAGGCGGTCGTAGAGACCGCCCCAGAGTTGCATGCCTTTGAACAATGTTTAATCGCTTCGCTCATTCCGCCGGCCTGTTTTCGCTCACTGGGAGGCAGTGCACAGGAAGCTCTTGGGAGTTCTCCGAGGCTTTCGGAGACGTCTTAACCTGGAGCCTTTGTGGGGCAATTGGGGGCCTCTTGGCGGTCTTGGGGGCCTCTTGGGGCACCTTAGGGAAGTCTGGGGACCTCCTGGGGGCTGCTTATGGCCAAGGGCTCGACATTGTGATGTCGTGTTCCCCCTCTGAGGCCTCTCTTGGGGCGTTCTTGGGACCTTCTTGGGCCGTCTTGGAGTCGTCTTGGGCGGTCCTAGAGCCCTCTTGGGCCGTCTTGGGGCTCTCTTGGGGCCCTCTTGGCTCCTCTTGGGGCGATTTGGGGGACCTCTTGAGCCGTCTTGAGGCGTCGGGAAGCCGAAGAAGGGGAAACGCCCAAATCTGTCCAAGACCTGGGATAATCAATGAATTTTACCTCTTGGGACCCTCTTGGGTGTGCTTTTGGAAGCCTCTCCTCTGGACGTTTTGGGAAGGATTTTGACGTTTCCGTCGATTTACACTCTGCGGGGCGCTTATGAAGGCTTCCGGATGCTTCTGGACGCGTCCACGCCCCCTTTCCAACAAGTAACCCTTCTCCCTCCTCCTGCAATGTTTTGGGACGTTTTGGTGCGTTCTGGGTTGTTTCTGCTAAAGTTGCAGACGTATCGCGTGCGTCAGAGAACTTGTCCCGAGGATTTAACGATGGCCGCGCAGGAGGGTGGAGGGAAACGGGATGCAGAGAATCACGCGGGACCCGTGTGCGTCAGAGGAGATCGAGAAAGTGATACGCTTCTACCTGCCTTCGAACTTCGAGTCCGAAGGACTGTCGCTGCTCTTCTACACGACCTTCTGGCGACTCTCCCTGCAGGACAGCCCTTGCCGCGCGGTCGCCCTCATTGTCCCTCCTTTTTTCTCCTCCCTCATCTCCTTCGTCTCTCCTTCGCTTCCTCCTTCCTCTTCCTCGTCATCTGCCCCCCTCCTACTACTGTGCGAGTACTTTGTAAACACGTCTGCCTTCCATCCCCTCCACGTCTTCATCGCCAGCCGCGTCTAAAGGGGGAGGCGAGTCCTAGAGCCAGCCAGGCGCTTATCCGCATCCACTACTCAATAACAGAGCCCTTTGCTTGGCCCTGGCGGAACTGGCTGTCGGCCGCTTCGCCCTTCGGAACGGAGCAGGTGGCCAAGGGCGCCCATGGGGCAAGCGAGGGTGCCAGCCGGGAGCGCTTGGGGACAGGAGTGCCACCTCCTTCACATCCTCAGTTTTCGTACACCTTTTACCCCCTCCTCCACCTCTCCCCTTCTTTGTTTTCGTCCACATCCCTCCTCACGCCTCCCTTTGCTCATCCTCCCTTATTCATCATCCCCTCTTCCTCCTCCTCTCCTCCCTTGTTCCACCTCTGTATTCGAATTCGACCACACTTGAACACACTTGAACACACACACACACACACACACACACACACACACACACGCACACACACACACACACGCACACACGCGCGCACGCACGCACGCACGCACGCACGCACGCACGCACGCACGCACGCACGCGCGCGCACGCACGCACGCGCACGCACGCACGCACGCACGCACGCACGCACGCACGCACGCACGCACGCACGCACGCACGCACACACACACACACACACACACACGCACACACACACACACACACACTCACACACACACTCACACACACATACACACGCACACACACACACACACACACACACACACACGCACACACACACACACGCACACACGCACACACACACACACGCGCACACACAATCGATATCACGAGCCCCCCCCCCGTGCGAACCTCCGAATCCATCAAACACCACACCCACCTACCCGCCTTCTTCTTCGTCCCTCTCTCTCCCGCCGCTTCCGACGTTGCTGGGGCACCGCCGACCGAGTTGCTCACTGTGCGGTTCAGTGCGCTTGGCCACAATCTGCAGCAGGTGGGCAGCGTGCTTTCCCGCGCGATGTGTTTGGCCCGCACGATCCTTCCAAGTGGGCCCCTGCGCGGGCTCGACTGCCAATGAAAAGCTCGATCGACCCACCCTTCCATGAAGCCGCTGCTCTGGGAAGGCATCCTGGGACGGAGGCGGCTCTCGACCCTGTCTCGGCCGTCGCCGCAAAGCTTCTGATGACCGCCCCGCTTGTCTGTTTCTCTGCCCTCACAGGTCCCATCGTGAGGGCCCTCGGCACTGTCGAGCATGTTGGCGTGCGTTTCCGTCGGATCGGTGGCGCAACGTCTGCGCGCACGACAGTCGACCTGTTTTGTTGTCCCCTCTCTCTTTCTTTCTCTCTCTCTTTCTCGCGGTCTGTGTGCCTATGTGCCTGTCTGTCTCTCTGTCCGTTTGTCTGTACCTCTCTCTCTGTCTCTCTCTCTCTCTCTACCCATGTGTTCGTGCTTATGCGTATATAGAATATACATATACACCTATCCGATCTCTCTCTCTCTCTCCCCTGCTATCGTACTACTCCTGCGGAGGACATTTCCATGCCGGCGTCCAGCTACGAGAAGGCTGGTCCCCGCCTCCCCGCGGCCACAACAGGAGCCCCCCACTCCCAGATACCAGAAGTGTGAGGCTTATATTGCACTCAGGGCTCGATGGCCAAATAAAACGGCCTCACCACCCCCGAATTTCTAAGGTGGCAGGCGGGTATGGGTTATTGGATGTTCTGGGTGGGTGGTTGTTAGATGTCTGGTCAATGTGACAGAGGGGGACATCAGGAGGGGCAGTGTCGAGGATGAGGAGCGAGACGCCCAAGACTGGACGGGACGGGACGCAGGAACACGTTCGGCCAAATGTTGTGAACAGGTTTGCTCTTCGAAAGCGTGCACGGTGCTAGCTTTGACGATTGCTGGCCTTGCGTGCATGCCGCATGGATGTTCGACTCGCGCCCCGCTGCCACTCTGTCCTGGGGGGGGATGCAACTTGCCCTGGTGGACTCGACCAGTCGTCATGCACCATCCCTCGACTACGCGTAAGAGTGACCCTCCGCCGGAGTGACATTGACCTTTGGTGCGGGCCCACTGGGGTCTCCCGATCGCCGAACGCGGTGCGGTGGTAGCGTCTTGCGCGCTTGTGCTTCGCGCGCCAAAGGTCCCTCTTGCCCAGGGTCACTCTTGCGTGTGGTCGAGTCCCGACCTGTGGCCATCGCACATCGCATGGCACAGCGAGAGGGGAACGAGGCGGGGAAGGCGGGCCGTCGTCGTCACGGCCAGGCCAAGTGTTGCTTTTCCGCTCGCGGCGCAGACCTCCCGCACGCCTGCGGAGGCCCAGGAGGCCAGGACTTGTCTAACAGCTTCGCTTATGATGTTCCAACCTGCTTTAGCCTTGATCACCAGAGAGAATTCCGAGCACCAAAACAAATACCGACACTCGAGAGGGTTCACGTGTCGGGCCCTGGGAGACACTCGCCCGACACTGTTTCGACTCTGTTTCGACACTCTTTCGAGTCGAAAGAGTGTAGAAGCGTCGAAACAGGGTCGAAGGAGTGTCGAAACATAATTTCGAGCACCTGGAACAGCGTCGAAAGTTTCGACGCTTTTCCAGGTGCTCGAAATTATGTCTGGGGTGTGGCCCTCATGTGCGATGGGAGCAGCAGACACCTTCGCGCGAGTGTCCGAGAGTCTCCCAGCGCGAGCCTCGAGGAGCCGGGCCGCCCCCGCCCGCAGTGATGGCGCGCTGCCGCAGGGGGCCTCGCCCGTGGCGCCTCCTCGCCCCCGGCAGAAGGGCGGAGGAAGCCGGCGGAAGTGACATCGGGGGCGGCAAAGAGGGGGGAGATGACTAGGGGGGGGGGGTAGATATCACGGCGGGGGCCATGATCGTTCCTCAGGTTTCATGGCGCCTTTTCTTATGTCATTACGTCCCTGGACACCCCCCTCTTGGCCGCTCCCGATAAAACTGTGCGGGTCTGTCGGCGGAAGCTGGCGGAAGTCCGGCGGCCCCTCCGTCTCATGCGCCCCTCTCTGCGACAGCGCCTGAGCACCCGTGCGATGTTCGGCCCGATCAGCGAGGTGACGAAGCCCAAGCGCGGCGCCGAGGCACTGGCAGCACCACCGAGCGAGGCCGCAAGCTCGACCGACGGGGCCCCCAACGGCAAACTGCAGAACCTCATGTGCCGCATGCTCCTCCAGCACGAAGCCGCCCACCAGTCGGCTGCCCGAGACGACAACTTCACGCTGACGCTCAAGGAAGGCGTGAAGATAGAGATGGCCCTGGAGCAAGGCTACCAGCACTACGTGGACGCAGGCAAAAAGGCACGCGAGGGCGACAACTTTCGAGGTCACCCCGAAGGCAAGAAGCCAGACGCGCTGTTCCGCATGATCATCTTCCGCCTCGCGGAGGCGGCTCAGAACGACTTAGAGAACGTGAAGCAGGCAATCGGCCAGGGCCCGCTCGCGACAGAGCCGCTCGAGGGCATGAACGTGCTGCTACGCCGGGAGCCGCTAGTTCAGGACAAGGACATGATGGTCAAGTCGACGCGGTGCTTCAAAGTAGCCCTCACCGAGGGCGGAGAAAACCACGTACGCTGGATTTGGGCCTGCAACCACCACGTCGACCTCAAATTCGCTCTGACGATGCTGAGGCTCAACAACGGCTTGTCTGCGGCGAACATCATGCTCGGCCACGATCACGGACCCCGCTCGAAGGCAGCCAAGCAGTTAGAGCAGCTGGCGTTCAAGGGCGGCGCCAAGACGGGCGAGAAGGGCGGCACCAAGAAGCCCAAACGCAAGTAGAGATACAAAATCCTGGTTCGTCCAGGTTCGACATCGCCACAGCTTTGCCGAGGAAGCAACGCCAGCCATTGATCGGAGAACTATTCAAGCGCCAACGCACATCTTACCAGCTTTGATGACCAGCGTCGTCCCCATGGAGTGAGGTTCGACGGCATCGACAACCGATATTGACACTACCTCGTGCGTGCTCTCAGGCGTCGGCAGTATCGTCTCTTCGGGGCCAGAACGGGGCTACATCGATATGGAGGGTTCGGCGGGTAGAACCGTTCGTCGCTGTGCTCTCGGGTGTTCACTGAGGCCCCGAGGCGCCGCTGTTGCTGGCCGCCGCCGCTCTCCCTCCCCTCTCCTCTTGCGCCTTGTTCAGCAGTCTGTGCTTTGAATGTGAGGAGAGGGGCCACCTTACCCCTGAGGGGGAGAAGGTGCCGCTTTCACAGTGCCGCCTCCGCATGAGGCGGGGGCGCGTGGGTGCGGGGTCGTGGCCTAGCTTTCGCCCTGCCCTCTGCGATCCCGTTCGGGCCCGACCCCCCTCGATATGAATGGGCATATCGTGCGCCGACCCTCGGTGGATTTTACCTTAGGCCCCTCACGAAGCGTTCCTCTGAAGGCTCTTGGGCGCAGTGCTGTAAAAAAAGGAAGTCCGGCGGAAGGTGGCGGAAGAAGAAGAAGAAGCAAAAGGAAGAGAAGGAGAAGGAGGATATGCAAAAGAAGGAGAAGGAGAAGGAGGAATAATAATATTAATACTAGTAAGAAGAAGAAGAAGAAGAAGAAGAAGAAGAAGGAGAAGGAGAAGGAGAAGGAAAAGAAGAGAAAGAAGTGATGCGCGCCATGTTTGGGTCCAGCGCTTCCAGGGTCGGGGCCACGTGGCGCCGCCGCGGGCGGGCGGATCGCGGCGGGGGAACCGGCGGCGCCACAGGCCGTGCTGGGGCCCGCGGCGCAGCGAGCCAGCGGCCCCCGCCTTCGCACCGCTCGCGTGGCCGCCCGCGCGCGCGAGGCGGCAGGGCCTGCGGGGCGGGAGCCGGGCGCCGCGTTTCTGGGGCCTCTGGGCGAGGACTTTGGCAATCCAGGAGCGCGCCCAAGATCACTGGAACCGTGGGTCGACACTATCTGTAAGTTGGGCGTGCCCCCCTACAGGGGGATTTGCGACGAAAAATGAAAAATACCCCAAACATACCCCAAACAAAAGGTGAAACAATTTTTTATCCCCAGACTATTTTTGGATTTTTTTTAAACATATTTTTGGCGTATTCTTTTTTCCGTCGAAAATCCCCCATGTAGGGGGACATGCCCGACATAACACTATCTCCAGTATGCGTTCGACCCGGGGTGGGTGCTCAAAGCGGTGGTTGGTAGCGACGTGGTTTACGGGGCCCTGAGCTCTGTTACCTCGTCGTTGTTCCAGGTGCTGGTGGCCTTCCCGCTCCCCGTGTCTCCCGACCCTCTTCGTGGCGATGTCCCTCCTCCTCCGTGCGGTCATGTCTTCGGGCTGTGGTTGCTGATGCTGAAGCTCGAAGAGTAAGAGTGTCCATAGCGATAATAATCATACAAATGCTAATAATACGCATACTAATGCTATTAATACTACTGATAATAATAATAATACTAATAATAATAATAATAATAATAATAATAATAATACTAATAATAATAATAATATTAATAATAATAATAATAATAATAATAATAATAATAATAATAATAATAATAATAATAAAACGAATGCTGATAATAATAACAATAAGAAGAACCCATAATAATAAGAAGGAGAGAACTAATAGGAAGAAACAGCGAATCAGATCAAGAAGACGAAAAAGAAAACACATACAGTCAACCCGCATAGTAAGGATGGGCAATATTCCCAAGTGTACCCTTGCACCCCTGCCTCCTCGGTCCATCCTTCGCCGATTTCGCTGGCCGCGCCCCGCCCGGAAAGCTTCGAGATGGGCGTCCAAGGCCCTTGCTTCCTTCTTGCGCATCCTTACTATACTGGTTGACTGTACTACACACAAACACGAATACGATGCCAGGAGCTGCTTGCGTAGCTGGGCCCTGCCAGAGCACACCCCGCGCCCTGGGCTGCCTCTGACCCTGCACCCGCCGCGCGGCCCGCGACGCCCTGCGTTTCGCAGCCTCGGTGGCCCGCGACTTGGCATCGCTCGGACTTGTGCATTTTTCAAGGGCGCCCTCGAGGGCGCGAAGTTATTTGCGCTTCGCGCTTCGTGGTTCGGCTCCGATCTCTACTCATCCTCCTCTTCTCCCCTGGGAGGCGGCGCGAGAGCGCGAACTTATTTGCACTTCGCGCTTCGCGAAGCGCGAAGCGCGAAGTTGGGAGCCCTATTTTTCCTTCGGCGAGGACCATCGAGGAGCATCCTTGATCATGTGGCGAAACAACCACGCACGCCCCCCCCCCCAAAAAAAAACGGGCAATGGACGTCCAAGCGATGGCCAGGCGATGCCAAGGGTTATGACACTCCAACCTACTCTAGCTTTGATTACCAGGAAGAATTTCGAGCGCCCAACAAAAGTACCGAAACTCAAGGATTGTCACGTCCCGGGCCCTGGGAGACACTGTTTCGACACTGTTTCGACACTCTTTTGACACTTATCTGGGTGCTCGAAATTATATCTGGGATGCGGTCCTTAAGTAGGACGGGGACAACATAAGCCAAGGGGCACGAGCAGCAGCCAGTTGGCCAGGCCGACCTGCCGAGGCCTCCTCGAGGCCACCCGCGGCCCGCCGAGGCCCACCGAGCTCCCGCGGGCCCCTCCCGAGCCTCCCGAGGCCGGCCCAGGCACCTCCGCTGCCCTCCGAGGTCCGCCGAGGGCTCCCTGGCGCCCCCCGAGGCCCCCCCCCCTCCCCCCCCGAGAGGCGCTCGAGGCCGGCCCCATGACCTCGGCCGGCCTCCGAGGCCCTCCGATGGAGGTCCCACCCCTCCCCCCCGGGTGCCTCTGGGGCCTCGCATCATGCGAGGCAGTGCGTGGGGCGTCCGCTTCGGGCGGGGCCAGAGTGCCTCCAGGGAGCTGGCCAGTCCATGGTGCGCTTGCGGCGACCATGCCGCCCTTCCTGGGACGACTGTCGGCGCCTTGCCGCCTCGCCTCCCCCCAGCAGCGGGAGTCGTGGAACGCAGCGGCGTGCCTGACAAAGCAAGGAACTCATGAGGCTGCCCGTTCTCGGTGCGATGGGCGTCTGTGGCGACGCCTGCATCACGCCAGCAGCTGCGTGGCAAGGGGGTCGCGGTGAATGATGGGTCTGTTTTCCACCACCACCACCACCACCATAAGTTGGAGGAGGAGGAGGAGGACGGAGAGGAGGAGGAGGAGGAGGAGGTGGAGGAGGACGAGGACGAGGAGGAGGAGGACTCACTGCCCCTCCAACTTATGGTGGTGGTGGTGGAAAACAGGCCCATCAGTGAGGGTGAAGTTGATGTGTTGGGTGCATTCGATCGGCCAGTGAGCATCTTTATCACGCCGCCACGAAAGGCCATCAAGGGCCTGGACGAGCAGATCAAGCTCGTGGAGAAGCAGAAGAAGGAGCTGGAGTACAAGCGCGACCGGGACCACTCCCGCGAGTACAAGAACTTGAAGAAGGAGGTGAACCGCCTCCAGGAGGTCATCACCAAGCTCAAGGAGAGACTGGCCGCGACCCTGTGCCCGCCCCACTGCATCATGATCGATTGCGTGGTTGGTCTTGCCTAGTGCAGTCAGGAGGCTGTGTTTCTGGACCGGCTCTAGTGTTGCTGCCCCTGGCGGAGAGCTGTTCCTGGGGAAGGGGTCGGGTCTCTGGGGCCGCGCGGCCTGGACTTTGGGCTCAGGAGGGGCTACAGTGCCGGTTTTAATACATGCTACGCGTGCGGATCATGTATTACAAATACAGGGCTTTAGTATTAAAACCAACGATGAGTTCATGCATAAATTTGCTCATAAATGAATCATGTATTAAACATCCTATATGTTTAAAAACCCTATGTCTTAAAAACTGCCCTGAATGGTTTCTGGGCCGCCCTGGAGACCTGCCTCGGGGAGCCCATTCGTGGCCGCAGCTAGCCGTGGCCAGAAGAGCTCCTTCGTTATTCTCGGAGCGCGTCTCCTCACAGCACAGTGCTTGCGCCCCCCCCCTCTGCTGCCGCTCTGCCGCTGCTGCCCCCCCCGCGCCCTTGCCCCCCGAAGGAGGAGCAGCTGCAGCAGTCCTACTGCTCCCAGCGCGTCCGCGCCCGCCTTGACAAGGAGAAGAGGCCCGTCGGCTGTGGGCCGAGAGGATGGATGCACACACACACACACATCTAAGTAGATATGCATATACACATACATACACGCATACATACATACAGGCCAACCCACAAACAAACATTCATACATACATGCGTGCAGGCAGACATACCTACATTAATACACCCATACGCACATGCATACACACATCAATAAATGATTCGATCCATCCATACGCACATATATATATATATATATATATATATATATATATTACTATAATACACTTATATACCTATATACATATACACATACACTCGCCCATACAGGTATTCACATATATACATCTATATATATGCATCGATGTACATACAATAATGCATGCATGCATGCATAGTTGTACCCACCCATACATACATACATTCAAACACACATACGTACATGCATACACGCATACACACATACATGCATACATACACACATACACGCATTCGTGCATACATATACATACGTACAGACATACACACGTACACACAGACATACATGTACACGCACCTGCATCCATGTACGTGTTTACACACTTATACGCAAACAGGCATACACACATGACTGCGTATATGCACGCATGCACACACAGCCATACATACATACATGCATACATACGTGTATGCACAACTGCATATATACATACTTGCATACATACACACATACATACATACATTCACACAAACACACATACCTACATATACACATACACATTCACACACATACAGAGGTACATGCATACCTATACACAGTCATACATTCACACACTCCAGCCACACAAACATACATACATACATAGATGCATGCATGATCACATACACACATACACCCATACACACATACACAATTGCATCCACATATATATAGATATGTGTATATATATATATACATGCACACATGGATACACACGCATACATGCATGCAAACATGCATACAGACAGTCAGCTATACAGCTAGACAGACAGGCATAGCATCCGCCCTGGAGTGAACGAGAGACAGGACGTGTGGTAATGATGGATATACACTTTTGTATATGTGTATATACATATACACATACATACATACATACATACATACATACATACATACAACATACACAAACACATACATGTATACATACATACATACATACATACATACATACATGCATGCATGCATACATACATGCATACATGCATACATACATACATACATGCATACATACATATATAAATGCATGCATGCATACATACATACATACATACATACATACATACAGACAGACAGACAGACAGACAGACAGACAGACAGACATACATACAACTGTACACACACATATGTGTGTGTCACATGCTGGAGTGCCAGGGGCCTGGGCCCCGGGACAGGGCACCCACCCCA